GCCTCTTCATCCTGGTTGGGTGGTCTATAACAGACTCCCAGCAGGATATCTGCCTCATTGGCCTTCCCCCTCATCCTTACCCATAAACACTCAACCGTATCATCATCACAATCATTGAGCTCTATACAATCGAAACACTCCCTAACATACAGAGCCACCCCGCCTTGCTTGAGTAAATTTACTTGATTGAGTAAATGCTTTACTCATTTGAGTAAAAAGACAACATCTACATGCACAAACACTAATGCACTGCAACACTCCTTTAAAAATGCATAATCCCTCTCCTGCCCCAGAAGTCTCCCGGAAGGAGAAGAACTCAATCTGTTTTTAAAGGAAAAATAGGCAAAACAGGCTTATTGACATTCGCTTTGTTCATTTGTGGAACTGGCAATATATCACTGCCCTTCAGGTCACCACTTCCTTTTAAAAAAACACCCCAAAAATGGTGCAATAAAACTGACTTTCCTGATGCTCAGCTTTTAAGAATAATCAATAAACAGCAACTCAGAGAAGTATTTGCAAAGCTATCATGGAGAGGAGTGCCTTTTGAGGTTCCTACAGACCATTTTATGCCTTGAAGCAGGGAAGCTTGAAAGCTTTTCAATTTCATGTTCCAGGTAATAATTGCCATTAACCATAGGTATTACTAAAATTCAAGGTCGATGTATTTTTCTGACTTACCAGAATGAACAGCAGCAGAAGCCCAAATGTCGCATCAAAGCATCTTGGGCACTTTGTTTCTCTTCCCACTACTCTTACTCGTCTGGCCCTCACGTGTGTTAAGATTAGGTTACGGGCAATATTTCTAGCATTTATTTCTTCCTTGTTGGCACAGCTGTTCACCTCAACTACATCTTACCTTTTTTTCAGCATTTACACCAAATGGTACCTTGCCCACTCCCACGTTTATATGCAAGCATGTTCTAACTGAAGTGAGAGTTGCCACACCCACGTAACAAAGAAGTGCATTCATACGCCAGACAATCAGAAAGCTCTCTGACCACATAAAGCCAAGCTTCTGGAAAGAGCCGCCATTCCGAAAACTGGGATTTAGAACTCCTACCACTTCTCTGACTTGCTGTTATTCCATGGTTGATTCAGAACAATTTAAAAACATGATTCAAAAGATGGGCCATACCTGTGTCAATACACTTCACAGAATCATAGAATCATAGAATCATTAAGGTTGGAAGAGACCTCCAAGATCATCGAGTCCAACCGTCAACCCAACACCCCCAGGCCCACTGAACCATGTCCCTCAGCGCCTCATCTACACGTCTTTTAAATACCTCCAGGGATGGTGACTCCACCACTTCCCTGGGCAGCCTGGTCCAATGTTTAACCACTCTTTCAGTAAAGACATTTTTCCTCACATCCAATCTAAACCTCCCCTGGCCCAACTTGAGGCCGTTTCCTCTCGTCCTGTCGCTTGTTACTTGGGAGAAGAGACCGACCCCCCCCTCGCTACAGCCTCCTTTCAGGTGGTTGTAGAGAGCCATGAGGTCTCCCCTCAGCCTCCTTTTCTCCAGGCTGAACAACCCCAGCTCCCTCAGCCGCTCCTCAGCAGACTTGTTCTCCAGACCCCTCACCAGCCTCGTTGCCCTTCTCTGGACGCGTTCCAACATCTCAACATCCTTCTTGTAGTGAGGGGCCCAAAATTGAACACAGTATTCGAGGTGCGGCCTCACCAGGGCCGAGTACAGGGGCACGATCACTGCCCTGCTCCTGCTGGCCACACCATTTCTGATACAGGCCAGGATGCCGTTGGCCTTCTTGGCCGCCTGGGCACACTGCCGGCTCATGTTCAGCCGGCTGTCGACCAGCACCCCCAGGTCCTTTTCCGCCAGGCAGCTTTCCAGCCACTATTGCTATTTCATGTAGCAATAAACCATGTTTTGAAGAATACTTCAGCAACCTGTGGAAAGCTGTCTAGGCATGGATCTGTGTATCCCCTCACGTGCACATTTTATAAGCAAAAGCAATCTACCACTCACTATCCACTGACTGCCTAGATCTGATCAAAACATTCAGTGATAAAGACGTGCTCACCCCGAATTCCTGCCAATAAGTAGAAATAAATACCGAATCAGAGGCCCCTTTATGTTATTTTCAATTCTCTGCTCCACAGGAATGTTGGGACACAAGTCTAAAAGGAGGGGTACTCATGCAATTCAGGTTAGGAATCCAGTTCAAGAGCCTGTTTCTCTCTGTTAGCTTGACTGAGAACCTAGGCTCCTCATTCGCACGCCCGATTTCAATGGTGTAAACATACCCTATATTTTTCCCCCCTTTTAAACTGGAAGAAGCTCAATCCAGGTGACTGTCAAAAGGGGATGGACCTCTAGTTACTATCCAGCAGCTCAAAGCAACACAGCAGATTCCCAAATGCAACAGGAATCCACCTGGGTTTAAGCGCACTTGCCAGCAGCAGCACAACTTTGTCACTTTTTAATTCTAAGTGAATGAGGAATTGGGTTAATAAAAGAAGTCTCCGACTGTAGCAGATGCTGCTTTGCCTTATCCACTACAGAGGGGATCCCTTATGAGCAGGAACGTGCATCACTGGCCAGTTCAACAGGCTGGAACAGTCAGCTGAGGCTCAGGTCTCCAAGGCGGCAGCAGAGGAATCCCCCACCAGGCAGGGAATCGATTGCTGCGTACTGACCTTTCAGCCCGAAGGCATCTTGCAACGTGTGCACGCAGACCTGCTACTGACCTCTGTTCGGGCAGCGCACACATCTCTGCGTAGTACTTGATCTTTGGTTCTGTTCCACTTGTCCGAAGGGTGGCAACACAACCATTTTGAAATGTAAAGGTGATCATCTGACTGCTTTTACTCACTGGCAGCACCTACATAAGCAACAACATTTTATTACAGAACACCCCAACTAACACAAAAGTGGGGTTTTTTTGGTTTTTTAAGAAATACAACATTCAGTACATACAAATCTAAATAAACATGCTGAAATCCCCTGCAGTATACATCCACTAGCCAATGCGACAGACGAGAACAAGTCATTTCACCCTGACAGGCCTATCCCCTAGATCAGACTCAGTATTTCAGGGTAACGGGACTGCCTCTTACTCCCACCGGAATTCCAACATCTGGAAGCCTGCTAGGCAGCTTAAGAGTTGCAGGAGCATCAAGCTCACTTCAACTAACAAAGTTTATTCACTGTTATATCAAAATAGTCAACACAGTAGCCAAGCCATTTCACATTTAAGCAGTTTTCTCCCCAGTAAATGTTGTTAAGCAGTTTTAATAGATGATAGTAATTATACTGCCATCTTAGTTGACATAGTACGTCTTTCTGCATAGTTCTTGGTGTATTTAACTTTCGGTCTCTTCAAAACCAGAACCTGTCCTGCAAAAATGCTTTGTAACTCACCGATTTCTTATTCGGCTGGCTGCTATCGTAGCCAGTGGTAATATCTCGTACATGTAATATATTGTAAATACCACAAAATTTTGGATAAGACTGAGGGGCATCGAAGTTCCGAAGTTTCTCAAATATCCTTTTGATAGTAGGAGGATCATAGCACAAGAAATAGGAAGTCTTTGATATGTGATATCCATACCTACAAGCAGATTAACATTTTCAGTTACAAGATTCAGAAGTTTTCTGTACATTTGCTATCTAAAGAAAGCCCGTTTGGAAAAGCAGTAACAGAAAAAGAGGGCAGTTCTCAGCTGTGGAAACAGATATTTATAGGCAAAAGTTTGGACTCCGAAGCAGATTTCACTGCATTACTCAGAACTCAGATCTTAAGCTATTTTTAAATTCAAGCAGAGGTTTCAGTTCCAAAGAAATAAAAGCCAACCATTTGGCTAAGTGGAGCCTCGGTAGCCCTCAGGATATTAATATGCTGTTATCATTCCCACACCATCAAAAAATTGTCTGCTGTAGCCATGCAAGCAGCCACAACAACAGATTATTTCAACAGCCTTTGAGGAAGGTAACTGATTATTTCATCCAAGTGAAAACTACTATCCCCAATCAGACCTAATGCAAGCACTCCCTAGGTGCAGCAATTATGTTTGCGCATTGAAATTTAAGTTGTTTTTCACTATATTCCATCCACTCCTCATTCTGTAGGGACCCTTCTCTGCAGCTTAAAAAATTAAGCGTGACTGGAAGATTAATCCTTCTGTTATCACTATCATTGGCAGCTTTTCAATCCAGCTGTGCAGAATTGTTCTTGCTACAGTTTGCATACGAGAGCGCGAACTCCTGAGTGCCATAAAGAGATAAATGCTGACCATCGTTTGTGCTTCCTCGTTCCCAGTTTCTAAGGGCCAGAGTCTTTCTGCTGGGCCGGCAGGAAAAGGAATGGCATGTATGATTTGCTGTAACTGTGCCAGTTCCATTAAAGCACAGGAACTTCTGCGGATAAACTGGGCTTATCACAGTACAACTTAATTCTGACATAAACACGTTCCTCATTCTATTGCTGTGAATTGTGTCCATAGCTATTGAACACAGGCCATTCCTTTAACCTCTGTTCTATTACAAATCTCTGCATGCGATCTCCTAACAATCCCCAGACCGTGTTTAAGTGAAAATAGTAAGCGTTTAAAGAGAGGCACACAGACCACAATTAAGATACAGCTACCCATCAGAAGATAAGAGGAGTAACATAGCATGAATCAAATAAGAGGGAAAAGTTTGCCCTGGTGGATCCATATGCAAAATTCTCCTCTTTCACAATTTATTGCAGAAACACGATAGAAAGGGCCTCTTCAGTCCTTTGGGTGATACGGTATTCATGTGGTATCTGTAATACTGAAGACTGTAGTCCATCATAGGATCAGAAAAAACAACTTGCAATGAGAAAACATCTGAGGGACACATTAAAAATATTTACTAGATTATTCCCAGCTCCAAAATAGTTAAGTAGAAGATACTAACTTACATTTCATATATCTCAATGAGTTTCTGTGCTAGTGTTAGGTTCTTGACCTCCAGGTAGGTTGCCATCTCAGCTATGACCACGGCTGCGCTTACACCATCTTTATCTAACACTGACGTGCCACACATGAAGCCTAGAAATAAAAAAATTGATCGTGGAAAAATAACCTGACATACCATTACACCGATTTACGTGATTGAAGTTTTAACCTTGTTCCCCGTAAAAATAAAAATTGGACAATACATGTAAGCTGTTTTTATTACTGCATATGCGTTCCCCTTTTCTAAGAAATCTAATTAACTTACGGGTTATAGGGCTGGAAAGGTATGTGCTATAATCAATTAATTCCAGATCGATAACATCTGCTCTCTGAGGAGATCTCTCATAGTACAATGCTAAACATAAAAATTTGCTTGTTTTGTGCAAGCACACCGATACTGCCAAGAGTCTTGCCAGCAATCTGAACCAAAGGAACTCGTACAGCTACAGCCTTGGTAACCCCTAAACCAGTGCTCCACAGTACTGCCAAGACACCTTCTTTCTGAAGGGATGCACGAGCAAGATCTTAACTCCATATGGTTAAAAGCTTCTTTAATTTTATGAATGAAACTGGCACGGACACACACCCTCTTCAGCATGTGTTTCATTTTCAAATGCCATATTATATGTGAACATGCTGTCCCAGAAAGCTGCCATTTATCCTAAGCAGTGGAGAATTCCTATAGCCGAAATGTTCACGACAGTTCTCTACAGGTAAGTGGTGTCAGCAAGACTACCAAGATAGAACGCTC